TCGAATCCCCGTTCCATCAAACATGCTCGCCCTTTTAGCCGTGGGTGCGTTGTAAAGTTACGGTCAATCACACAATTCGTCGGTAAAAGAGTAGTTCAAGAGTTGACGGTGGGTGGTGATGATGACTAGCTGCTTTCCCTCTAGTCTTTCACTTCTAAATTAGGGACAGCTATCGCAGATGGCCCTCATGCAGCTTTGCGCGAAATTCAAAAAAAAATAAGATTCAAAATTATCATCAAGACCTCAAACAAAACATTACCTCTGACAGTTAAAAACTGATTAATTATGCTGCATTTCTCTCTTCCTATTACCTTGCCAGAAAGAAGCTTATAAATACTTATAGTTCTGTAGGCGTAAGACATCATATTACTCCACGTGCTCTTGAAATATTTTTTGGTCTTACAAATGAAAATAACTAGTATTTAATTCATATGATGTGTTGCAAATAAATTTTTATTACTTAGCTCTTTAAAAGCTAAGCTTTTATCCGTTTCACTGTATATATATACACCCATCCACCTGATATGAAAAAAATTCAGAGAGAGTTTTGAAATGACAAACGCGCAAAACATCTAATACATTTGTGAATATAGAGCACTATACGCAAATATAACAACAAAATATGTGCTTAAACACGAAGAACACTCCAGTACAGGAGGGGAAAAATTGTCATAGGATGCTCAACAGGTGTGATGCAAAGAACATTACATCATTAATTAGTTTGTCTGATCTAAAATCTAAACACTTTTTCTTCCTTCGTTCAAAATTATGAAGTAATATTTTATAAGTTTAGACATCTACACATGTACGTGGCCTTTAGTGGCATCTATCGCATCAATTTGAACATTTGATATTTATAACTTAAAAATCCGAGTAAACTGTTTCACATATTTGATAGTTTAACTTTATGTAACACTGAACACAACAACAATCTGTGTAAATGTCATGTTTTCTTTATTCAGACCGAGATCATTTTTGATTATGTTGGGTACTGTTGGCAAGGGCAGATTTTTCGAAGAATCTAAATTGTTACAAGACACCGATCTTTTTTTTTCAGGGGGTACGACTTGTTGCAGGTATCTTTCTGGATGTTTCTGTTGTTCCAGGCTCCTCCATATTCCTTTGTTTTTCCTTGTCATTAAGTAAAAGGGGGCCCAGCATGGCCAGATGGTTAGGGCGCACGACTCGCAATCTGAGGGTCGCGGATTCGAATCTCCGTCCCACCAAACATGCTTAGTCTGTCAGCCATGAGGGCGTTATAATGTGATGGTCAATCTCACTATTCGTTGAAAAAAAAGGTAGCTCAAGAGTAGGCGGTGGGTGGTAATGACTAGCTGCCTTCCCTCTGGTCTTTCACTACTAAGTTAGGGACGGCTAGCGTAGACAGCCCTCGTGTAGCTTTGCGCGACATTCAAAACAAATAAACAATTGAAAAGGATATTATCATCTTAGAAGTTTTAAATCCCTGAACTGAACACATTCCTATGATGTGAGTGTATGATTATTTTCTGTCAGAAAGGGTTGTTAAGTATTCATCCCAATTTTCGGTGACATCTCACTGCTTACAAAATGCCAAACAATGTCAAAATGTAGTTGTGATACATGTCGTTCCACCACGTATTTATATCGACTGTGTTTGACATGTTGCTTGCTGGTTTTCATATTCAAAATTGCTTTAATAACGTACTCAACTCTACAAAGGTCAACGTTTTTTCTTGATAACAGATTCTGTTGAAATTTTGTCTTCAGAATGTACTGCAGAATAATCTTTATTTGGCATTCCTTCATTTCCTTGTTTGTGGTTTACTAAAGTTCTTAACAGTGCATCTTCTGAAGACCGTTTAAGTCTGTAACCTGTCTTCACTAATCAGCGTTTAACCAAATCCAGTTTCTAACATCCTGTTTAGAAAAATGTGAAAAATGAATTCAAAGCCATTGTATGCGATTCTGGTGGGTTGTTTGAAAATTAAGCGATGATTAGTTATGTAACATTTTATAATTTTTTTTTCTCTTAATTCTAGCGAATTGTATTTTCTGACGCAATAGTAAATCACTTAGTTTTTCCTTTCCCCATTTAGACGGACGAGGTTCTTTTTTAAACTTACCCACTGGTGGTAGGTCACCAAATTCACTACATGAACATACGTACCATATTACGCTGAATTCATTGATCGTATTTTATATTTCTATTATTTTAGCTTTTAACGCAGAACGAACAAGTATTTTTTTTATCAGTTTGCACCAAAACAGAGTCGAGCGTTATGAGAGTAATTGTCAGATCCCGCTGTGAGTCGGTGATGGATGGGGTTGACTAGCTGCCTTTCCTCTAGCCTATCACTTCACAGTATCTTTGCGTGAAATTAAACAAACAATACCAAAGGTAGCCTTCGATAACTCAGCGGTAAGTCTGAGGAGTTATTACGCTAAAAATCTGGTTTCCATACCCGCGGTAGACATAGAACAGATAATGCGTTGTGTAGCTCTGCGCTTAACAACAGAAACAAACAACATCACCAAAACACCTGTATTTAAACAACTATAATTAAATCATTTCTAAACGATTGTCTTAAAATCCTAAAATATAAACAGTTAATCATAGAATCTCAAAAGAATACTCTAAAGTACCTTAACCATGTTAATAAGTTATGCTGTTATTGCCATATAACCTTAAAAATATGGTCTTCAAAAGCGATATTAGAATTATTGAGGCATCACAGGTTTGAATGCATGATCGTAAAATATTTATAATATTGTCGCAGATATCGTTCAAAAACACGCATGGTGTTCATAAACCAAAATTATAAACTAACTGCCTTCCCTCTAGTCTTGGGCCTGGCATTGAAGGTCGCGGGTTCGAATCCCCGTCACACCAAATATGCTCGCCCTTTCAGCCGTGGAGGCGTTATAATGTGACGGTCAATCCCACTTTTCGTTGGTAAAAGAGTAGCCCAAGAGTTGGCGGTGGGTGGTGATGACTAGCTACCGTCCCTCTAGTCTTACACTACTAAATTAGGGACGAAATTCAAAACAAATAAACAAACCGTCTAGTCTTATACTGCTAAATTAGGGACGGCTAGTGCAGATAGCTCTCGTGTAGCTTTGCGCGAAATCCATATCAAACAAACAAACAATAAAATCTGAAACTTGATCTTGGCTTCTCAAAAAAAAAAGTTTAGAGTAATATTGTAATATAATTCCCTCACAAATATACGGCGAAAGGTTTCCTTAGCTGTTTCATGTTGCATAACGCCTGAAGCGTTCAAATAATGACCCTGTTTCCTTAGCTGTTTCATGTTGCATAACGCCTGAAACGTTCAAATAATGACCCTGTCTTATAGGTAGCATCCCTCGTGATAGGGAATTACTTCAATATTCTGCAGGCCGGTCGTTGTATACGGATTAGCATGCCGGGCTGTGATTCCGAAGGTTCGTGGTTCGCATCCCGTTGCTGCAAAATTGTGCCGCTCCGCACTCTGGGGCAATGACTATGTTACAAAAGCGACGGTTTATGATTGATGCTCTTGACTAGCTGTCTTCCCTCTTATGTTTCAGTTCAAAGCTAGGGGCTGCTAACACAGACAGCTCTTTTGTTGCTTTGTGCGAATATCCGACATATACAAACACTCTTGCAAGCCCAAGCTATTTATTTCTATTTTTGACGACTGTCGTTTAGAGTTTATGTGTCAAAGACAAATTGTGAAAGTCTGTTCCAGAACAAGTGGCGAATTTCAACAGACAACGACAAGCTAGTCGATATATCGATCTTCATGACGTTGTTTCAGTTCCGTAGTTACGTCTGTTTCTTAGAAACAGAATTAGTTCTGTCCAAGTGTGAGATAAGTTTCAACAGAAAATAAGAAATATCACATCAAGAAAACATAACCGTAGATCAGATGTACCTGACTTCTGAACACATTTTTTTATTTGTTAACAGAGTACATTGTTTGGTTTAAATGTAAAGTTCTTTACTCACTACTAAAAACCTAAACACTTTAGATGTTTGGAGTACATGTGACATACCATTACAGTTAACTAACCATTGTTGTTCATCGACTAACTGGTTGTTTTTTTTATATTTGCTACTTCATATTTTCTTAACTGAACTTACGTTTTGGTGAGGAAAATAAATAAAAGAGTGTTTCCGTAATGATAGAAAAAAAAGCGTAAAAAGTAATGAAAGAAAACGGTTTAAATTTTGTATGAAATCCCATTTTTGAATCTGACGTGTAGAATTATCTTACCATTATTTGAAAGTTTTAAAGACAAATCACAACCAGTTTCACAATATCCAAGTGTCCTGATTAAGACGATTACAGCTGTATAATATGACTGGCTTCTATACATTTTTCACCTGATACTGCCAGAACTGTGTAGCTACTAAAATATCTTTTTTTTTCAACAAATAATAATTTAGGTAGAGTATAACAATGTATTTTAATACATTATTATTTCAGCTGTGTCATTATCTTTTTTTTTTAATATTTTGCCTTTCTTATTAATCAGAAGTTTTACATTCATGTAATGTCAATAGAATGATCTATTTTTGATTTATATTGACCACTATAATAACCTATTATGTAATAGTTGTGCAAGTCCATAACAGGCAATAATCCTATAAATTTAAAGTAAATCTCACCATCTACCGACCAAAATTTTATAATTATATAGACAGTAGTTAAATGCAAAGTGGGATAAGAAAGATGAAATATGTTTTTAATTAGTGTTTAGCGTAGAGTGAGTGATAAGTCAATTGAATATATGTTTTGCTCCTTTTTTCTGCCCACAAAAATATATTATGTTTGTACTGTTTGCTAATCTTATTATTTTCTGGTATTCGGAAATTGACAGAAAGACAAAGTTTCATTAAATTATCAATCATAATTATTATTAATACTGTTTTCTTGACTTTTGTGTTAAACATCTTATCATTGACTTTATTTTAAGGGACAAATTAAAGATATATTTTGTTTGTTTTCTTAAAGTACCATGAATTTTTTTAGAGCTTTTGGGAAGTCCGATAATAAGTCTTCTCTGGACCACTTCTTTCATCTGATCTTTCATCAGTTCTTATCTCGTGCCAGCGGAAACCTTTTCCACCCTATTGCACCTTTCATCCAGTGTCTTCCGGGAGTTCATAAGCTGGTCACATCACCAGAGATTCAGGTAAAAAAAATACTCTAGTGTATAACAAGAAGAAAAATACATCAACCAGGTTGTATCAATAATTTGATTAACAATTGGCGAAGTACAACATAGGCGTTTATATTACTTGACCCATGCAATATTAGTTGAGTGACAATTTGCAAATACTATTGTTGACATGATATAAAAGACTGTTTGGTTTAAATATTAGTGATTAATTTATATTTGTGAGTGAATATTTTATTATTTTTAAGTTTTGTTATAATTAGAGTTAAAAAGCAGACGACTGTAGGCTTTGTTAATAACTAATTGGTGTCGAGAATATAAAAAGTGGCCAGACGACTATGTAATAAAGATATAAATAGCGTGAGACGAGCGAGAAGCAGCAGACAGACAGTATTAGACAGATAAAAGCTAAGAGAATATAGTTGGTGTGAAGTGAAGTAACGTAAAAGTGATAGGCCTAACAACTGACATAGGCCTAACGTTTAATATGTTAGAGTGAAACTAACAGTATAAAAAAAGATAAGAAGGATAATTTTATTCCGTCAAAGCGTGGTTTTAAAGTAATTGAATCAGTCTGGGTACACTTTGACAAAAGGAACAGAGGATCTTCAAAAGAAAGAAGACCAAACGAATTACGATAACTTGCGCCACAACTGTAAACGAATCAATCACACAATACTAGTATGATAGTAATATAGAGTTCGATAGTTCGACTTGTCAACTGAAATTCTAAAGTAATTGAATAGGTCTAAGTGGACTTTTGACAAGAAAAAGAGAACTATATATAAATAGTGTTTAACGACATGCCTGTAATCTCTGTAGTGTGAAGACTTTGTTGTACATACGTTTAACTTGTTCCGAATATATATATATTATTTGAAAACAAGTAAAGTGTGTGCTGTTTGTTCATCGTTGAATTTATCGCTAACAAGTCACAGACACCTACCGTAGAAGAATCCTAAGCCCAACAACAACATAGTATATATATTTATACTATTAAGAAATATAAGTAAAAGCCATTTATTTCGACAGTTGGCAAAAAGAACTGATATAATATTATTTTTTAAAATCTGACAGTTGTGTTACAACTGTTTGAGAGCTATAGTTTCTTGCAATGTTAACTCTCACCAGCTGACTTGTATTTATCAGTTATAAGTCAGTGATATTAATTACATCTTCGAGCTTGAAAGTTGTATCCTTCGTAATTTACGGAAACATTAGTTATTGTATAAGATGTTGTTCAGATCTGAAACCAAACACGTTGCAAAAATTTGTACATATACCCATAAACATTGTGTTCTTTATTTACAGATTTGTTTAACATTTGATCCAAAGTGTTTGATAGTTCCTGAATCCACGCTGTTTTTGAAAATATGTAGATGTGTTATTTTATCACATTAATCGTAATTTGTCCATAGCAGCTCAAAAATAGCGTTTCAGATCTGTCTTTTGTCTCGCGCAAGTCACTGCCCAATGGATAAATTAAAACAAAAACAAAACATATGCATTTAACTTGATTTTATAACAATTTTTAGGCTTGTTCGACGGCTTTTCGTGTTTAAACCCGAAGTTTTGAAAGTATTGCGCAGTTAGTACAAACTAACAAATGAAGTATTTGATCAGTTGTCACCATAAGAAAAAAAAAGGATTTTATCAGTGTAAAAGATTGAAGTAATATTTTATCTTAGTTTTTTTTTTCTCACGAAAAGCTTTGGTTCCAGGTATTTGGTTAAAACAAACGCGATAGAATGAAATAAATTAATTATTCCTTTGCCTACAAACCTTTAAAACATTAAAACTTGTATATTTATCAACCATTGTGAGTTAAAATATTAAGAGTGCACTCATTTCCTGATTGTTTTTGATTGTCATTGATGAAACTCCTTGTTTTCTGACAGA